ACCTATGCATATAATAATAGCAATAACCAGATGACAGAACGGATCAAAAAAACCTGAACATTTCATACCACCAGAAGGGACTCCAACAATCCTAAACAGAGCAGAGAAGAAGAGCCAAGTTTTCTAGGCCCTGAGGAAGGCCATTAAAATGACAGCCACCCCTCTCTCAGGGGCAGCTTCAATTTCAGAGGGCAGACATCATGATGTTTTGGCCGCTCCTTAAATCAAGCTCATTAAGGATGCAGTTTTGGAGAGCCTGGCCTTGCTCCATCTTACAATTTCCCCTCAGTGCAATGTAGAACAGGCCTGGTGCCTACACTACAGTAGACACCAGGGGTGGGTTTCTTGCCCCGTTCCAACCGGTTCGGTTGGAACGGGGCCGGCGGCGTCCTTGTGCACGTGCGCGATGCGTGCGTGCACGCACACGGCGCACGCATGCATACTAGCATCTGTGCGATGCTCCAGCTGCTCCTGGAGGATCGCGCAGGCGCTGTATGCGTCCTGCGCATGCGTGGAAACGCAGAACTCGTCAAAACCGGGTAAGGAGCGCGGGCGGGCGGGTGCGCCCTTCGCCGTTCCCGGAAGTTACTTACTTCCGGATTCGCCGACCAACCGGTTCGCGGGGACCGCCGCGAACTGGTTGAAACCCACCCCTGCTTGGAATATGTGGGTTGGAATATGTAAAAGCATCAATTTATCTTTACTACATCTTTTTCATATCAATATAGCCCATCGTTCCAACATTGCAGGTAGGACAGGAAACTGGGTAGCATCCATCAGCCTCGAGGCAAATTTGAATATTGAAAATCAATAATGGGCTAAGTTGGATCGATTGACTGAAAGAAAGGAAGCATACATGTATATCCCAACTTGCTTAGCTGTTATTTGAAGTTGTGATAAACCCGCCGAAAGGAATCAGTTTTAAAGTTCAGACAGCCCCTTTCCTACAGTCATGTGAACTCATTTTGAGCACTTGGCAGTCAGCTCTAGGTAGAATGGTTTACAGTGTCCCATGTTCACGATTTACAGTGTTTTGCTGAAAAATAGGGTTTCCTTCTGGTTTTCGGCAAAAATGAGCAATGCGTTTGATTAATGACTACAGTGCTTGCTTAAGAACTGGGGGAGGGGGATTTCACTTAATGATGATGATTCCTGTAATGACTGCTATGAAAACAAGGTTGTAAAATTGAGCCAGTCATGTGATGGCACATTTTATCACCCTGAAGACTTCTGACCATAGTGGGCAAACTCCATTAGAGTTATAAGCCAAGAACTACCTGTACTTCTTATGTTTTAGATGAAACATACATAAAACTAACTTATCCTTGTTCTGCATCAAAAACATGCTGCTCACCATCTGCAAGTCTTATAATACTTCTTCTAAAAATAGCTTGTTTTTACGGTAGTTCACTGGCCAATATAATGAAGACAGTCTATTGCACATGAATCTCTCTGATGATGCATTCTGTTTCGTGTCTGTTTTACAGAAAATGCCAACAATATTTCGTACGTCTGTTTGATTATTTATTTATTCAGTTTCTATAGCCACTCATCTCAGCCAAGTGACATCGGGTGGCTGGGGTGGGGGCTTGCCATTCTAAAATTATAAAACAGTGAAAATAATTAAAAACAATAAAAACAATCCACAAAGTAAATACAAGTTTATTACATTAACTAACTTATAGGGTGCCCTGAGGTTAAAAAACAAAACCGTTCAGAGTAGCAACCAAAATATACAGTCTCTGAACTGGAAAATTGGAAAGTTTTAACCTGCATTTTTATACTTCCCTTTTAATATTTGTCATTTGAGTTTACTTTTTTTGAGAAGCTCCTTCAGCTAGAAGCCGTTTGCAGCTTTTGTAAACAGTTATTAAGTGCAACCACTAGTACTTTTGCCTATACTCAAAAAACAAATCCTCACAGAGACTTTGTTTCAACTGTTGCAATTTGTGCTGATTCTGTTAATAGTTGAATTGGCTCAAGTATGAATAGAACTGCCCTTAATTAAATTAAATTAAGAGGGAGCCAAGTTAGAACAAGCACAGTCTTCCTGAGGAAAACTAAGAGGAATGTGATCAATTGTTAATTAAAATAAGTTTAGTTATAGTTTATTGCTTGTCTATTGAGTACTGTATTATCATTCATTTAGTATGTTACCTCCATCCAAGGCTGAAACTGGAACAATAAAACTGTAAAACAGACAAAACCAAATTTCATAAAACCAGCATACATAAACTCATTAAAAAAGAAATCTTAGTTGTTTTAATGTAGATGCCAGTCTTGAACCCAGCCTTTTCCTGGTCATCTGTGCCCTATTTTTTAATACCTTACATACAGATGTCTTTTTCTTGTCTTTGATGGGCAGGCTGTCCTAGACCTTGACTGAGAAGGCCCGTCTCTGCTGCCCCAGTCCTCCTGTCTTCCTGGGGAGTAGTATCCACAGTAGTGTATTTCTTTTTGGCCAGAGGGTAGAATCTATATTATTCCTTTTTTGGCGTGCTTGTATTGAATGGATGGATGGGGTGTCAGACTTTTGAAGGCAACATAACACCACAATTAGGTTTAATATGATAGACTTGCGAGGCCAGCGCAATGGGCAACCTGGTCATACCGATGTAATGCAATATAATGTTACATACATATAGGTATATGGGAATGTGTGTTAGTTATTACTTATTTGGGTTTAGGGATTCTATTTCTTTCATTTATTATTGAGTTATTGAGATGTATTTTGTGTTGGGGGGGCGGGAACTGCACCAAGGGAGGCTCATTCAATTTCATTGTACACATGTTGTTCATTGACAATAAAGGTTTGATTTGATTTGGATGCTACTTGAGCAAGTGGTCTCAAATACTGCATGTTTTGGTCACCACACTATAAAAAAGATGTTGAGACTCTAGAAAAAAAGTACAGAGAAGAGCAACCAGGATGATTAGGGGACTGGAGGCTCATACATACGAAGAACGGTTGCAAGTACCCGGCATGGGTAATCTAGTGAAGAGAAGGACCAGGGGAGACATGATAGCAGTGTCCCAATATTTGAGGGGCTGCCACAGAGCGGAAGGGGGTCAAGCTATTTTCCAAAGCATCTGAAGGCCAGATAAAGAATTATGGATGGAAACGATCAAGGAAAGATTCAACCAGGAAATAAGGAGACATTTTCAGACAGTGAAAACAATCAACCAATGGAACAGAAGTTGCCTTCAGAGGTTCTGGGAGCTTCATCACTGGAAGCTTTCAAGAAGAGACTGGACTGCCATCTGTCAGAAATGGTGTAGAGTCTCCTGCTTGGGCAGGGAGATTGGACTAGAAGACCTTCCAAGTCTGTTAAACTGTTTTACTAAATACAACCTGGACGATGACATACAGATAGATCTCTACTTACAACCATTCATTTAACGATAGTTCAAAGTTGCAATGGCCCTGGAAAAAGTGACCTCTGTTCACACATATGACCATTGTACCACTCCTGTGGTTATGTAATTGCAATTCAGGTGCTTGGCAAATGGCTTGCATCTACAACCACTTGTAGCATCCTGTGATAACGTGATAGCAATTTGTGACCTTTTTTGGTGATTTCCAGGGAGGGAAATGCCTATTGGGGATTCACTTAAACATGCATGATTTACTTAATGACTAGGTGATCTACTTAATGGTTGTGGTGATCTTTTTAATGACTGCTGTAAAAATTGTCATAAAATCAGATCTCACTTGGCTTACGATTAAAATGACTTCGTGACCCGACAAATGCGCGCACGACAAAAGCGTGCCGACAAAACCGCGGCTCTAAAACATCGACGTCATCAACGCGGCAACAACAGCACGCTGGCAGAAGCACGATTTAAGTTAAGGTAAGGGTTAGGGTTAGGTTTACAGCGCACTTCTGTCACCGCGCTGTTGTCGCTGCGCTTCAGCGCTCATTCATCGCCGTGCTTTAGAACTCACGGTTTTGTCACCGCGGTTTAGTCGGGCGCGCTTTTGTCATTCGCCCTTTTGTCGGTGAACCAAATGACTTGTGGACATTCTGGTAACAATGGTGGTCATAAGTCAAGGAATGGGGCAACTTGCTGCAGCCAGCTCACCATGGCCAACTCACTCATGACCAACTCACCATGACCAACTTGCTGCATCCAACTCACTGTAGGACAACTCGCTGCAGCCAAGTCATCATGGAACAATTCACCCCAGAACAATTCAACGATTCAATTATTTAAAATAATTTTAAAATCTATGTTAATGTTTGTCATTTACATTTGATTTTGTCCCTCCCTTTGGATCCTTTCTTTAATTATTGTGTTCCACCATTTCTTTAGTATTAATATAACTCTCATCCCACTACGAGTTGATCGCAAGGAGCTGCTGTGGTACATTGGCCACAGTAAGTTGACTGGGGCAAGTTGTCCTAAACACTCTTGAATTGGATCCAGAAACAGATTATCAAGACAGTGATATTCTTGCAGAGCTGTAGTTTTAAAATGAGTGGGGCAGAATTGAGCTACCCCAGTTGAAAATAAGGTAGTCGAGAACACAGTGTAGGAACTGTGGGCTGCACCTTTTGCTTCTGGTCTAGATAATTTGTAGTATTCTAAAAAATTCTCCTCCCCTGTTCTTAGGACTGAGAAAGGTTTTCTACTTGTCTGTCTTAAATGATCTCCAAATGGAACGGATTTTGTTTCTTTGCATTTTTAGATCTTTCCTTCCATATTATAAAAATGTCTCCTAGAGTTGCCTCAACGATAATGGGCTGCATAGAAGTTTAATAATGAAATAAAATTTAAAAATGCTCAATGTTTAATTTTGTTTTGATGTTTCAGCAGAAAATGAAGAGCTTGGCCCAAAGACGCCAGTCAGCACCATCCCTGGTTCTCAGCAAAGCTCTGACCAAAGCCAGAACAAGTGCCAGGTAAGACGGACTCTTATTCCTTCGGGCTCCGTTTTCATCATAGTGTGGTTTTGATGAGTATGTGTATCATACAGGGCTAAACTAATACCTGGAGGATAAACTGTAAGCAGGTTGATGTTTAGAATGTTCTTGCCTTGGGCAACTGGGAGGTGTGGTGTAGAAAGCAAAGTTAGCAGAAAAACAGACTGCCCTCAAATTTCCATCTCTGTTCTAGCCTTAGATTACCCAACCCAGACCCCAAAAAAGGACTTTGTGTCCCGAGGCTCCCTAGTTTGTGAGAGTTGCAAAGAGGGTCTCTATTTTACAAAGCAATAATGAAATTGTTTCTTTCTTGAGTTGACATGATGGGAAGTTCAATCCCAAAAAAGATACACAGTCAGAGGTGGTATTCAGCAGGTTCTGACCAGTTCTGTAGAACCGGTAGCGGAAATTTTGAGTAGTTCGGAGAACCGGTAAATACCACCTTTGACTGGCCCTGTCCCCATCTATTCTCTGCCTCCTGAGTCCCTGTGTTCCCAGATCAGGAGGGAATGGAGATTTTACAGTATCCACCAAGCCACGCCTGCCATGCCCACCAAGCCATGCCCAACAGAACCGGTAGTAAGAAATGTTTAATCCCACCTCTGCACTCAGTACTTTATTTCTGCCAGTAAAGCAGAGTTTGGTACCAGGATGATTTATTTACAAATCTTGGCTTGTTTTTAACTATGGTTTTATATCTGAATTCTGGCTTCTTAGATCAGCTGTTTTTCAGCAGCCATAAATGGGATGGTGTTGAGTGGGAAACAAAGCCTTATTCTTTTTATTCTAAATCAGCTCCGATTTCCATTTATGCTTAGACATGCACATCACATGCTATGAAGATTTTAATAATAATACAATTTTAGTTAAATCTGTAAGTTGAGATGCTTCTGGTTTAAGTTAAAGGCACTGGAGTTTACTCTTTGCATTAATTTCATTCTTAATAATTGTTTTCACCAATGTTTCTAATTTAGGTTGCCTTCTCAGGTGACATTTCTCCTTTCAGAAAAAAAGACTAATTTTCTTAATATTTTCCAGACCAATAACAAAATCATGATAAGTTTGTGGGAAAATTATTTACAGCAAACTCTTTACTTGGACAACTATAGTAAAACTACTTGTTTAGGAGTAATTTTTAACATAGCATTTCTTTGGTTCTTACGTAGACTATAGCTATAGGTTCAATTCAGGGGTGAAATCAACTTACTTTGCTACCGGTTCGCAAATGTGAGTGCACACGGCATTCTCCACACATGTGTAGGACCTTCTGTGCATGTGCAGAGTGTCAATAACGGGACATGATGACGTCCCACCGCCACCAGTTAGAACTGGCTGAATTGCACCACTGGTTCAGTTAATTGTCCCAAAATGCAGATCAGGAGATTTTGTCATTAATTTTCAACTGCATGAAATGAATGCACTATGGGTGCACCCAGGATAGTAAGAAATATGAATGAAAAAGCTGCTTTGTAATAAATCTTTGTTATGAAAATGCCAGAATTCTTTGCAAGGATAGTTTCATTGGACAGTTTGCAAGATGTAGTGTTTGGCAACAAACTTCTGCAAAACTACTTTTCACTGCAAAATGGTTAACAGATGATAAAATTGCTGGGATGTTTGTACAGCATTTTCTGCAACGTTTTTTTCTCCAAGTGCTTTACGTTGGCCACCTCAAGATTAACTGATTTTTTTTTTTACATCTTTGCGTTTAATTATTATCCAATAAATTTCTAAGGCTATATTTATAACTAATCTCTCCTACTCTTATAATTTATTGGAATTGCAGCTATTCAAGTCATTGGCAAAATTGCAAGCAAACACAACTAGCTCATTTAAATCTCCCTGAATGGGGCTCCATTCAGTTGATCCACTCTCCTTCTCAAAATTGTTTCTCTGTTAACAAGAATCATTCTTCTTCCTCAATAATCAAACAAATGATGTTTGGACTCCATATGTTCTGAAAATGCTTAGCTCTTGTGGCTTACTTTTTCTTCTTCTGAAGAAAAAGGAACAATGAGTGGTATGGTTAATCCCTTAAATATTTTGTTATAAAAGCTGTTTAATACTTATTCAGAATTTTTAAACAAAATATTAAGTTCACGTTTAAATAGATTGCAGTTTTTCCTTTGGTACTAAATACTAATGTTAATAGATAGTCACTTCAATGTCTTAGAGTATTTGATTAATGACTACATAACTCCTTCCCAGCTGCATCTTATATCTGCAGAGGTTTTATATGAATATCCTATTTTAGCAGCTGATTCATCTCTGTATATATTGACATTAATGAGAGAACGTGGTTAGGAAATACTTGGAAAACTGGCATATTTATATTTTCATGGTCTTTTATAGGCAATTCTGATGTATCTTTTTTTTTCCTGCTGCATGACAATCACCAAAGTGTAATGTTTGCCACAGGCTATTGATTTAAAGCAGTTAAAATATAGTAACTAATTTAAAATGATATTTAAATGTTCAATTAGACTGAATATTTCTAAGTGGCATTTTTGGTTTAAAACTTTTGTTTTTTTTAAAAAAGTATCTCTTGGTCTAAAACTTGATTTATAATTGTGTAGTTGATGCTTTTCAAAATAGCTAATGTTGAATTGAGTTGAACCATTTCTGACTACTACTGTGAGCCTTTAGCCATTCTACTTTGCTGTGATTTATTTCTGCACAGTTATTTTGTAAATCTAAAGTAGTTTTCAGCTTTAGTGAAAAGAAACTTGTATAAAAGTGAAATTGAAATGAAATCTGTGACATTACTCAAAAAGGGCAATACAATCAAGCTCCTATTGTGCATTTGTATAGATCAACCTGTGCTACTCATTAGTTATGAATCTCTCAAAAACTGGTTTCATAATTATTTCTGAAACAAAGGCAAGGCATTCCTTAGTGACTATCTCTTTCTCCTGTTATCCAAAAATACGGCTAGAAGTTTGTGAAAATAACGCTTCTTTTTGGAGGTGTTATCTACCTCCTTTTTTGGCCCTATCCTTCCTGTGTTCCTAGAATTGATATTTCTTTGAGCTCTCATTCTTGTTTGTCATTGCAAAACAGTTTCCTTGTATATAAAATGAAAACGTAATTAAAACCAGATAAATCCTCTTGGCCGAGAACCATGATCCAAGGGAAAGTGAAAGTACAATAGTGATATCAACCCATTCTATCTAAAATTGTGCAGGAGGAGAGGAGCCCTGTTAGTCTGTGGTAGGCAAACAGGTGTTCCTGTGGAGGAATATCATAGAATTTTTCAGACTAACAGATTTTATTAAAAGGTATTTGGGTATCTGATGAAGTGAGCTACAAAGTCTTACACGTTTTAGTAAAATGTGTTAGTATGAAAGGGTGCAGACCCCTGGTTGTTATTTGTTAATTGTTATTTCAGACTAACTGGATTCATTAATGTTCTTATATCTAATATTATCCTAGTCCAATCTGAGTCACAAATTGAAGCAAAAATAGAACATTAATATTGGTGTCTGATCACTTCCTGTCTCTGGCATTTACAAATCAATTTGATTTCTAAACAATCCTGTTCTCTCCTCTGTTTGTTTGTTGTCATAATTATATGGGTGCAAGATAATTTTTCGATTCTCCTTTTTTCTGTCATAATCTCACCTATCAGATAACGGTGTTGGCAAGGCTTCTTCCATAAATAATACTTCCACTGAAAATACTGCAACCAGGTTCACACTAGACATATGTTGAAAATGGTAACATCAAGCAACATCTGTTCACTTATGGTCTGCCTTTAAAAAAAACAGATCTTGCATGTAACCACTAAAAAATTATTGAGGAAGATATTTGTGAATGTGGAAAATACAGTTATGATCCACATGCTTAGCTCTGAAATTTTATTGTGTGGGAAGTGTCTCAGTGGTGACTTTTCATGCAGTGTTTTAGATTTGTCCTGAACAAAACATCTCTTTTTTTGCTTTTCTGTGGAGAGATATTAATTGAAATCAAGATTAGCTAACAATTATATTAGTGTGAGCCAAGAGACCTTTGTTTGCATAAAGCATGAAACCATATTGTATTACAGAATATTAAAACGGGATAAAATTTGTGATTTCAAATCTAAGGGGCTAAAGATAAGTACAGCTTTCTGATGGTTCTCTGTTGATTCTAGTAGATAATTGGCTTCTGATGGAGAGAGCTCATTTGGTGAAGATGTGGCTGACCATCTGCAAATTGTGTCCCTCGCCTCCATAGTTATCTGGGAAAAGTTTGAACATGTGAGCATTATTAATTAATTTGGACAGGATTCTTGGAACTGTAAGATTAGCCACTTGGTTTTAGATGCATGTCCCTCCTATGGTACTAGATCAAAGTCTCCTGGGAGGTGACATGTGGTTGTGTCCATTTGCTGGTGAATGGTTCTCTGTGGGAGATAGTGGTTCCACGCAAATTAAAAGAGGAAGTTGTATGCCCTCTTCCTTAGGAAGCCATTGCTGGACTCAATGGAACTGGACAGTTTCAATCCAGACTCCAGCCTTGCCATTTTAGGGAAGATTGCTCAGGAGGTGATCAGTTTCCAACTCCAGAAGCTTGAAGGAAGGAAAGAGATTATCTGTACTTTTATGGTTGAATTTCAAGAGGGAATATAGTACCAAGATGGTATTTATTACATTTGTGGATGACCTCTGGCAGGATTGGAATGAGAGTGATCCTGAGTCCTGACCCTTCTGGGTTTCTTCTTGGTCAGCAACTTTCACTACCATCACTCATGGCACCTTCTGGACCAGCTCAAGAAAGCCTGGTCCTTTCTCTAAGGACAGTACCAGTTGGTATTGGCAGAAGGGAGGCTGGTACCCTTGATTTGTATGATGCTTCAGGGATGTACTTTCTGCCTGCTTCTATCTAACATCTACATAAAGTTAGTGTTCCTTGAAATATAACCTGTTTTTGACTTTTATATAGTTTGCAGGTTCTAGATACTTTTTAAAATGGAATTGACCATCATAAAACTGATAATC